TTCGCATAGATGCCTTGAGCTCCCAAAGCTAGGGGGACCCGGCCTGGTGTACCTGGGTAACAGCCACATGAGGCCAACTGATTGACAGGAGACAGTTACTGTAACACAGATATAATTTCCAAATTTTGTCGTAAGTGGGATTTAAACCTTAGACCTGCCACTTAGAGGATGCCAACCCAACCACTACACTAGGATCAATATCCTCTTGTTTGGTAAAAAATTATACTAACAAAGGCTTCATTATCAATAACAAAGGATAAGTTTAATCTTGGATATTAATATAATATTTAACAAGTAGAAATATATTGAAGCTTGATAATTTTTTGGTTTTCTGCTATAATATAAATAGTAAGAGCAGTTCTAATAAAGTAGTTGTCTAACAATTTTTTCTAATTATTAGTGTTTGAAGAGGTTTGTACTTTAGCTACATTTATATCTTAATAATAAAGTAAAAGTAAATAATTAAATCTTGGTTTTCATTTTTCTTAACTTCTATCTCTAAATTTGTTTTTTTCTAAATAGTTTCTTGATTTGCTTTTGCTTCTGTTTTTTTGATAATCATTTTTTTGATTAGTATAGTTTTTTCTATTATTGTTATTGTAATTACTATTGTTGTTTCTTCTTCTTTCAAAGTTTTTGTTTCTTTAGTTTTTATTATATCTCTTTTTACAATTTGCTATAAAATGTCTAAATTTATTATAATAATAACAGAAAGTTCTGTTTTAAGCAAAATTAGGACTAAAGTTAGAGCTATTTTTTTTTCTGCAATGTAGGCTATATAAAGTTGTATAGCTTGTTGAAATTGTAATATTAACTGAGGTTAAGTCATAACTAAGTTGATGTATAATTAAGCTAGTTGTTTAGTAATACAAAGAGACCTCTCTAAATGCACTCTTTATATTCTATATATGCAAGACTCATGCAAGTATAAGTTTGATCTAATATATTTAAGTTATTCTTTTAAATGCACATCACATAATTATAATCAAGTAAATCTTAGTATATAGAAATTAGATGATCTATGCATAAATAATTGCACAATCTGAACTTTTCTTTTTTTGGTTAATCATTCTAAAATTATCATTACATTAAATCACTTATTTTATTTCAAGTAAAAAAATTACAATGCACAGATATCACTAATAATTAGTGCATAACTATACAATTTAAGAAATGTAATATCATTAATAGAAAATTATTAATTGCTTTAATGCCATTAATAGAAAATCATTAATTGCTTTAACACTATCAATAAAAAATTAAGTAAATTATTGTAAGAAAAAAGAACTGATCACTTGTGCTATCTCTAATAAAAAAGTCACTATGCATATGAATTTCCTCTTTTAATAAATTCTTATCTGTTTATATCACTACTGTAGATTTTTAAAACTATTACATATGCATTATTATTTCAAACTATGACTTGAATTAAGTTTAATTCAAACATAACTTGCAATAACACCTATCATAAAGTTAACATAAAACCAACCCAAATTGATATGCTCTATTTAAAAAAAAAATAAACCAAAATTATATCTGTTTTAAACCTCAGCATGATGATGCCTTTATCTTCATTAAATAATGCCTATTTATATATAACTTTAGAGATCAGATTATTTTCTATTAAGAAATTTTTAATAAGTAGAAATTGATTACCAGTTGCAAAAGTGATTGCTATCAATTTATATTGATTACAATCAATTGCAATCAATTATTTTTTAATTAATTATAATCAATATAAAATTTAAAACAATCACTAGTAATCAATATTTATTTTTTAAACTTTTCTGATATCTATTAAGACTAATTTCAAATTTATTAAGTTTTCTAGTTTTTAGCAAGTTGTTAAAAGCTTGATAACATTCTCAAACATTATAACCTATAAGCTGAACTTAGATTTACTTAAAATTAATCAAATATAATTATGCTCATTTTCAAGAAGTTTAATTTTCAAAATAGTGCTCATTTATATTTTTATAAAAAAAAACTTTATAACTAATATAAATAGATAATGAATAAATAGATCCTAAAAGGATCATTTTTTTTTATATAACTTTGCATGTTTAATATTTTTTAACTATCAATTAACCTAAAATTTTATGTCTTCTATACAAAAAATCTCTTTTAATGATGTTCAAAAGTGTGAGTTTTGTATTTATGCTTGTGATAACAAAATAACTCTTGCAAAATATATAAATAGAATTGAAACAAAGTAGAATGTTAAAGTTCATAAATCCACTATAATACAAATTTGGCAAAATAAGAATAAATAGCTTACTACTGAAATTATTAAATCTGAAAAAAAAGAAATAAAGTTGTTATAATTCTGGCACTTGAGCTTACACTTAATAAATTTATACTAACCTATCAACATAGAACAATTTTAAGTAATGCAATATTAATTGAAAAAGCTAAATTACTTGCTAGTAGGTTGGAAGTTTCTAAAGGCATGTTGCAGTTTTTTTCAGATTGGCTTTACAAATTTAAAAATGTATTGGAATTTATAAGAAAAAACTTCATAATAAAGCAGAATTTGCTAATAATATAGCTATTAATCAATCTCTTTTATCATTATGAAGCAAAAGTGCCAACTATTCTTTAGAACAAATTTATAATATAGATGAAACTGTTCTTTTTTATCAGTTGGAATCTGATTATTTATTAGCTATTCAATGTCTTTTTGAACATAAAAAAATAAAAAATGAATTACTATTGCTTTATATGCAAATTTAGATAGTTCACATAAGTTAAAATTCTTTAATTATTAGATAATTTCAATAATCATAATGCTTTAAAAATGTTAAAATTTTCAATTTGAAAATAACTTACTGAAATAGCACTAAAGCTTGGATAATAATGAGTATTTTTTAAGAATGGCTTTGTGATTTTGATTCATTAATAAAAAAAAAAATATAAAAATTAAAAAGTCTTATTATTTTTTGATAACTGCTCAAGTCACAAAACAATAAGTTTAACTCTTTAGCATGTAGAAGTCTGTCTCTTACCCAAAAATACACTTTTAAAGATTTAACTAATGAATGCTAGAAACATTATATCATTTAAAAGAAATTATTGTCACTATTATATTCAATGAATGCTTAAGCAAGTTGAAGATAGCATGGATGCTCAAGACCTAAAGATGAATATTTTACAAGTCATTAAATATATAATTTAAGACTAGAATGAAGTTATAGCTACAATAATCAAAAACTGCTAATGCTATACTAATCTTATTCCTTATTAGGATAATTCTATAAATAGCAAAGAAAGTGAAAATGAAGTCTTGCTTGAAGATCTGTTACTTGAAGAACTTTTTAAAATATTGAAAATCTTAATTTTTTAAACTTTATGCAAGTAGAAAAGTATTTAAATAATCTTGATAAAGATATTGTTTACAAAATACCTGACAATGATCAAATTATTTTAGACTTTGTTGAAACATTTAGAGAAAGATCTGGTGAAATAGAAAATAATTTTAAAGAAGTAGACGATAGTGTTGAAGAAAAAATTATAAGTCTAAATGCTGCTTTGAAAAGTATAGAAAATATATGCACTTTCTTGTTTTAGCAAGAAAGTGCAAGTGAATGTATAAATCTAGTTAGTATTATTAAAAAATTTATTAATATAAAAAAATAAAATTTGATGAAGCAATCTATGATCAGTCAATATTTTAATAAAGTATCACAATTGACAGATTAAGATAATTGGATAAAAATTTTTGTTTAATATATATTTGATATACCCATATATATCTTTATTACAATATATATTTTATTACTTATATTTAATATATATTTAGTACTACAGTATATCTTATATCAATACAATTAAATAAAAAATAATTATACAGTTATATTATAGTGATTTTTTAATAAATTTCTTTAAGTGCACACCCTTTATAAATGCACACCTTCAATAAGTGCACACTTGGGCCTAGTTCTAAGGGGGTGCATTTAGAGAGGTCTCTCTATATTATTAATATTATCTTTTTCTAGAATAGCCATTACTTTTTCTAGTTCTTAATGTTTTGCTCCTTTAATATTAATAGCTAAGTTTTTAGAAACTGATGTTTGTACAGATATTGCATATTCAGTCACAATTTTTTAATAAAAAGCTAAACAATAAAGTTATTTAAAAAGGCCTTTTCAGTGTTTACCTTTCTTTAAAGCTTTTTAAACTAAGCAATATATATATCAACAGTGTTAGTTTCTTGTTTAAGGTTAAAAAATTCTTGTTGCCACATAGCTTTCTTCTTAAATATTTTGAATTGCTCAAGAAATAAAGTTTTAAATTAAGGTTTATTTTCAATATTATATAATTCAAAATACTTATTTTCAAGTTTTTTAGCCAATCTTATGCATTGTTTTTCATATATGCTTAGACAATTGCAAGTTTTTTTAGCTTCAGTCTATTTATTGACAATAGCAACTTTTTTAAATTTATTAATTTAATTAACTAAGTTTTAAGTTCTATAACCTTTAAATTGTACAATTTTAAAGTATGATTTTTTTTCAGCTTCAAAAGTATAACAGTCTATTTATTGTAGCAGCAGCATTGTTCATGACTCTTTTATCTTTAAAGTTAAATTTATCAGTAATAGTTTTATTTAAGCTTTTTAAAGGTTTTTTTTTGAAGTTGTTTTTTTAAATATTTTGTTTCCTCAAGATAGTTTTGTTCTAGTAAGAGATTAATATCTTCAATAGTTAAAGTTGTGTTTTATTAAATATAAGTCTCTGAATATTGAACAAAATTCTTAAAATTAATAGATTGTTAATAATTAAATAGTATTTGAATAATAGAAATATTAGATAGTGCAATCAAAATCTCAGAATAACTAGTTGTTTCTAATAAGCCAAAAGTTAAAAAGGTTTTTTTTTCAGTTGTAGTAAGATTTTTAGTAATTATAGATAAAGATTCTTTTAGACTTTATTTAATACCAAAATGAAATAAAAAAAAATTTATTTCTTTAATTAAAAATTTAGTATATCTAGTAACTAGTTTTGATGTTATTAAAGTTGAAAGTTAAGAGATATACAAAGGTTGAATAAGAATATAAAAAGGTTTTTGAGTAATTTCTCTTTTTTATAAAGCTTTTGGTTGAATAAATAGAAAAGGTAATGATTCTTTTCTTAATAGGTTATTTTATCAGAAAAATATATAATGTTTACTGGTTTAGTCTTTACTATATAAAGCTAAAGAGCTAGAGTTTGCAATAAATATTGAAGTTCAAGTAGAAGTAATAACAGTAGTAATAGAAGAAATAGAAATTTAACAGATTCTTCTACAATAATAACAATTTCTTGCTGTGTTTGCTAAAAAGTAAATGTACTAGTTTTTTTTCAAAATCTTATGCTAATTCTAATGTAGCAGCTTGTAAAGCTTTAATATATTGTTGAGCTTTAACTGAATTATTAGTAAAAATATTAAATAGGGTTTTTTGGTAAATAATAAAAAGTATATTATTGAAAAATATTTCATGCAATGTCTTAAGAATTAGTTATCTGGTTTTGATAATAATAGCTAAAAATAATGTTTTTAATAGCAACTTGAACAACTAAGCATCCAGAAGTAACTAATCTAAAAAAGTTAAATTGGATAATTTTACTAAAAGAGGTAGCTTGGTAAACTTCTAAATACCAAGTCCAAAATTTAGCAAAGCATTTATAAGGATTAAAAATGAATAAGAAGTAGTAGATAATATTGTAGGCAAGATAAATCAATTACAAGGGTTTGCAATATAGTAATCATAAAAAAAGAATTTTTACTATGAATCTGTTGATGTTTTTAAATATTTTCTAAATAAAATAAAACTGAAAATTTCTTATAAAATAATTTTTTTCAAGAAGAGTTAGTACTAACAAGCAATAAAATAATAAAATAAAATAATAAAAATTAAGAAAATAAATTTAAAAGTAGTGCTAAAAAAGTAAAGAATTTAAATAATCAAATCAAAAGTTAAACAATTTAAAATATATTTATTAACTAGTAAATAAATTAGTAATATTAAGATCAAATTAAAATCAAAAATCAAAATCAAAAATCAAAATCAAAAATAAAAATTAAGATTATTTCAAAAATCAAATTCAAAGATAGAAAATAAAAGCATAAACTTTTTTAATTTCAAAATACAAAATACAAAATGCAAATATAATTAAAACAATTCAAATTAAGTTAATAAAGGTATATCTAAAATATTAATTTTAAAATTTCAAAATGCTTTTTCACAATTGCTGCTTTAAAATAGTTCTTTTTAAAAAGAAAATTGTTTTAAATAGTTTTTTTGAAAGAAGTTTCTATTTTTTTTCTAAAATAGTTTTTAGTTTTTTTACTAGAAAGCATCAAAATGTTACAACCAAGTAACAAGATTACCTTGTATAGTAATTAACTATTGCAAATATATACAAGATAGAGGTATAGTAGTAACTATATATAGATTAGCTTTATTAATCAAAAGTGTTGTAACTTAGTAAAGTGGATAGGTTGTTAACTCTTAAATAGCAGATTTAAGGTTCAATTTTCATGAATAATGAATTTTAAAAATTATACTTGTGTTATAATAACTGTCTCTTGCTAATCAGTTGGGTTTTGGGTATCTGTGATCTTAAGTAAACCAAGTTAGTTTCACTTAACATTGGAAGCTTAGAACATCTATGTAAAACATAACATTATACATATATAAAGGAATATAAAAAACTGATGTTGTATAAGTCTTTAGTCAAACTTATAATAAGACCACCAAGCATAAAAGGCTAAAAAACTAAGAAGATAGAAACTCACTTAGAAATCCTAAGTAAAAAGGTAGCACAAATTTTTGATAGTACTATTGAACCAATAGAAGCTCATGAAACACCTTCATAGGAACTGTTAGATAAACTAAATGACAAGATGTGTAAAGGAGCATATGACCAACTAGGCTGTTAGAATTATCAGAAAAAAAGGATATATAAATATACTATATTGAACTATCTGAATTATAAGTCTGAGGAATCTGTTGTTGATTCTGAGTTGCAGCTAATAGAAAATAATAAAGAAAAGTTAAAAAGATAGGTATTAGAGTTTGAATGAACTTTACAAAAGTAATAGCAGTTTAATAAGTAATACTAACTACAAGTATTAGTCTTAACCATAGCATTAAATCAGGTTAGTAATAAAAGAAAATACAGCTTGCTCTGGTAGTTTTGTCTTAAGAATAAAAATAATTTAAGAATTATAGTCCTATGGTTAAAAGTAAATAGATCTAAGTCTGTGATCTGATAACAGATAAGAGGGTTTAAATAAAACATCTAAGCAGAAGTGTTAGGTATGACAACTGGTAAGAAACTCTCAAATAAACTTTTTAAATAGATAATATAGAAAAGTTACATATATAGCCAGTTGTATACTTATCTTTTTTTTTTTTTTTTTTTTTTTTTTTTGTTATGCCAAAGTAGAAACTTTATTAAGTAATAAAAGTAATTACATTAA